CCCCAATTTCGTGAGCATTCATGGCCCACCATACAATTTCCATACCCAGATGTGGCCCTCGAGGCCAAAAAGTTTGCCCACCCCTTGCTTAGACTATAGACTGGCGGCACAAAGTAGAATACATGGTTATTTTAATTGGAAGGAGCCACTGATATAATTCAATGACTTATGACTGTTGAAAAATGTGTGTCTGCTTCTTACTTTTAGGCTGGGATTTTCAAGAGTTCTTAGCACTGGCTTAGCTTCAGTAGCAGCAGAATTAGGCCAACACTGAGCTCTTTGGAAAATCCCACCCTAAAGAAATATGGGCCCAGATCCAGGCTGCACTGCTGTGTAACAGGGAGCAGGTGAAGGGTGGAGGAAAATTGTCATACTTGGGAATAGGGGATGTGACTTGAAGGAAGCAGTCATGGCCAGGGTTCCACTGTGTTTTTGCAATTTCCAGTTAGTACATTGGGCTCTTAGAGGCCATAGTGAGACAATATAGTTTAGAGCAGTAGTTCTCAAACTTGGGCCGCCGCTTTTTCAGGGAAAGCTCCTGGCGGGCCGGGCCGGTTTGTTTACCTGCCGCGTCTGCAGGTTTGGCCGATTGTGGCTCCCACTGGCCATGGTTCGCCGCTCCAGGCCAATGGGGGCTGCAGGAAGGGCGGCCAGCACGTCCCTTGGCCCGTGCCGCTTCCTGCAGCCCCCATTGGCCTGGAGCAGCGAACCGCGGCCAGTGGGAGCCACGATTGGCTGAATCTGCAGACACGGCAGGTAAGCAAACTAGCCCGGCCCACCAGGGGCTTTCCCTGACAAGCGGCGGCCCAAGTTTGAGAACCACTGGTTTAGAGCAGCCTCAAGCTGCTCTAACATATGTTAGCAAGAGGACCATGTAGATAGAACTGGCTCCAGCTTTGGGAAGGTGCAAATGTCTCCTTTTCAGGTGAACTCTACCCCAGTTGTGCTCATTGCTTAGTAGGTGTGGCTGATGATTGTGCTCACAAAGTTGTAGAAGGTATTAGCTCCAGTAGTGAATATTAGAGAGCAATTCCATAAAAGGTGGTATAATCTGCTAATTTATTGTTACTGTGAATAACTAACAATGCCAAAGAAGTGCGACACCTTTGTTCATACTGCCTCTTACACATGAAACCCCCTCCTCACGTCTGCCAATACCCTCTCCTCATTTAAATCCCTACTGAAAATTCAATTCTTCTGCAATGCCTGCAACAAGGGAGCCATTAACACCACCTGAAATATTCTTTTATAAAAGGAAAACAAAACAAAATTTATAGAACCACCAAGAACTGCATATATACAGACTGAAGATCCAAGTGACCGTAATGCTATAGCCTTCACCCTCCATCTCCCCATTCCCCCCCTGCTGTTTCTTACCATCACTTATTATATCACATCTAACATTTACTATAAATACACACACATACACATACACACCTGTTGCAACAATGGACAACGGCCCTCTACATGGTTATTATTAGTAGGCAATTTCTTGTATGTTCAATGCAATACAGTGCATCTTAGTTAGATATTTTAGACATTTATAACATTAAGAGCTAAAATAAAATAATAATAATAAGATGATGATGATGAAGAAAAAGGAGGAGAAGAATAAGAGGAAAGTGACTTAATCATGTATATACCACTTCAATGGTGCCTGCTGCTACTATAGCAGTCCATATATGTTCAGTTGCTGGCCGTCATGCTATCAACCTCTGCTTTTGCATATACTCACACAGCCTGTGAATTCCTGTATCTCTGCGTAAGATTACATAGAGGGATATGATTCACAAGTAGTGCTGTGGTACAGGGATTAGAGAGTATCAGATACTAGAACAGGGGTGGGCAAACTTTTTGGCCTGAGGGCCACATCTGGGTATGGAAATTGTATGGCAGGCCATGCATGTTCACGAAATTGGGGGTTGGGGTACGGGGGCGGGGTGAGGGCTCCGGCAGGGGGTGCGGCCAGAAATGAGGAGTTCAGGTGCAGGAGGGGCTCCGGGATGGGGCAGGGGATTGGGGTGTAGGAGGGGTTGAGGGCTCTGGCTGGAGGTGCAGAGTCTGCGGGGGGGGCCAGAGGTAAGGGGTTTGGGATGCAGGAGGGGGCTCTGGGCAGAGCGGAGGGGTTCAGAGTACGGGAGGGGGCTCTGGGCTTAGGCAGGGGGTTGAGGTGTGGCAGGAGGTATGGGCTCTGGACTGGAGGTGCGGGTTCCAGGAAGGGGCCAGAAATGAGGGGTTCAGGGTGGGTGCACGATGGGGCTCCGGGCTGAGGCTGGGGGTTGGGTGCAGGGGAGGGGGTTCCAGGCTGGGGCTGAGGGGTTCCGAGTGCGGGAGGGGGCTCAGGCAGGGGGTTGAGTTCAGGGGGGTGAGGGTTCGGCTGGGGATATTGGCTCTGGGCTGGAGATGAGAGGTTTGGGGTGCAGGAGGGTGCTCCGGGCTAGAACTGAGGGGTTCGGAGGGCGGGAGGGAGATCAGGGCTGGGGCAGAGGGTTGGGGTGTGGGAGGAGGTCAGAGGTGCAGGCTCCAGGCGGTGCTTACCTCAAGCAGCTCCCAGAAGCAGCGGCATCCCCCCCCAGCTCCTACATGGAGGTGTGGCCAGGCGGCTCTGTGCACTGCCCTGTCCGCACACGCTGCCCCTGCAGCTCCCATTGGCCGCGGTTCCTGGCCAATGGGAGCTGCAGAGCTGGCAGTTGGGGCAGGGGCAGCATGCGGAGCCGCCTGGCTGCCCTTACGCGTAAAAGCCAGAGGGGGCACATGCTGGCGGCTTCCCGGGAGCTGCGCGGAGCCATGGCACGCATGGAACGGTGCAAGCCCCTGACCCCGCTCCCTGGCTGGAGTGCAGGAGCAGGACAAGCCCCCCAACCCCGCTCCCCAGTGCGAGCTTGAGGGACGGACGAGGCCCACGGGCCGTAGTTTTCCCACCCCTGTACTAGAGTGACAAGAGGTCTTGTAGGTTCAATTCCTAACTGGGATACATTTTAAATATACAATTATTTTATGACCAGAGTCAACAAGGTCTGTGTCCATGGGCGGCATACTTATGCAAGTGGGAGGGGAGTACATGAGTCAGCAGTTATACTAATGGAAAGGCATCATAGCCAGCCACTGAGCAGTTGGGAGTAGAGCTGGTCACGAATTTGCTGATAAAACATTTTTCCATCAAAAAATGCTGATTCATTGAAACTGAAACTTTCTGGGGGGAAGTGTCAGTGAATTTCCCAATTCAAACCATTGAAAAAATGGTTTGAAATCATCAGAACATCCTGTTTCAACATTTTCGAAATGAAAAGTTCAGATTTTTTGTTTTGAAATTTAAGTTAATTTATAATAAGAAAAATGTTTTAAAAGGTAAAAATCAGAACAAAGTGTTTCAAAATTATTGAAATGAAACGTTTCAATTGGCCTGAGCAGAATGTAGTTTTGGATTATTGGTTCACAAAAAATTTGGAGATTTTGACGTTTCATCCCAATTCAGGATGTGAAAATGTTTTAAAATCTCAAAATTTCCCCCAGTACAGGAATACAGTTTCCTGCCCAAGTCTAGTTGGGAGTACTGTGGGAACAGCAGGGAGTGCTGCTGTCACAGTACTCTCATGGCAAGACACAGCCAAAAAATAAATATACAAACGATGTTTAGACTTACAATTTCACCCCTGGAGCCTTTTTCACCCCTGGATCCCTGAAAGAAATAGAGACTGTTACTTTGTAATATTTTAGGACCTCAACCTGCAAAAACATATACACGTGAGTTACTTACTCACATCAGCAGTCCTTTTAATATTAATTGCCTCATGTGTACAAATGTTGCAGAACTGGGGCCATAGTTTGTACTATAGATACACAGATTATAGACTAGACAAGGAGTTACATGAACATGACCTGCGATTTCTATATTTTGATTTTTATCCTTTCAGTTTGCAATTCCATTTTTTGCTCTTTCTGAAAATGGTTAATATTATTTTTCTTTTAGTCAGTTTTGCCCTGTTTAGCTGTTTGTTTAGCTAAATCTTGCAGCATGCTTAAACCATCATCATGGGGGTTCCGTGCTTAAGCCATCATAATGCTGTGAATTAAACTATATACTATCTGCAAGTGAGAAAATCCATTTCATTCCACACCACATTCTATGGGTATTTCCACATCTGTTTTTACTGCTGTCATCAAAAATATACATGAGCATTATTAATTCCCAACTACAGGCAGATTAGCCATCTCTTCTTTGCCTATATTATGTTCTTGGCCAGTTTTGCATTGTTAATCTAAAATGTTAATCTAGCAATTAATCTGATGTGCATAGAATTTTAGATCTTGATGTTTGAAAATGAGTCAGAGCTAAACTTTTTTATTTATTACAACGACAGGTTGTCTGGCTTTGTATGAAGCACATTAACAATCTTCATACAAGTACACAATTGTGGAGAAAAATTTTAGAGTAAGAGTTGTCATCTTTCCTTTTGTTGGGGGAAAAAAAATGAATGCAAATACAGGGAAACCCTGCTATAACGTTCCCCGCGATAATGTGAATTTGGATATAACGCGATCATAAGGTGGCTCCGGCCGCCCCAAGCAAAAAAAAAAAAGTGGCCGGAGCACCACGGAAGCGCAAAAAAGAAAAAAATGGCCAGAGCGCCGCCGAAGTGC